CTTTTTTTGTTTGCATGCCTTGTTGTACTTCTTTTGGTTTTATAATAATGCTGTTAGAACTTGTATTTCCCTTTTTCACCACTGAACTATATGACGGTTTCAAAGCTTATGTTCTGTTGATACAAATATCTTGATCGGTGTTTTCTTCTATCTTACCATTGGTTCTGCAACTGATTGTTGCAATTTTTTCATACAGTAAGGAAATTTTTTCGTATAGCTCCTTGATTATTATGTCTTTTGCCAGAATTATTTCATCTTTGGATAGGATGATTTGTTCTTTTGCTTTTATGATGTCATTTAATAATACCTCCTCCCTATTACTGTTACATTGTATTGCTTTTCTTTCTTTTTCCTTTTCTTCCTCTCCTTCTGAATGATTTTGATTTTTATTTTTCTTTCTTACACCTTGACTCATATCAAATGCGGTACTGTTTTTTCTTCTATAATGTTCTTTTTCTTGCCTTTAGCCTACTTATATCCTACTGCTTTGTTCTTAGCGGCTTGCGGATATTAACTCGTGCGACTTTTACAATTTCTGACACAAATGTCACAGAATATATGGGTCAAAATGGTAAAAAACCACTCTGCAGCTCCAGAGTACACCACCAACAGTTCCACGGACGCGATTCTTTCCGATATCCAAGTGAACGCTACTGCTTTAAAATATCTTCAAGTCTTGTGTGAGATATTCAGGTATTTATAGCGATCTAAATGACCGATGTGATCTATAGTCAACGCCAAACAAAGTGGCGTGCACGTCATCACGATAAAAATTCCCCGACCTAATGCCTAGGTTTCTATCACAAACAATTGCTCTATTGCAGTTTCATATTAATGTTATATATAAATTGTAAAATGGTCATTACTCTCTTATTATGGTTAATAGTCATATAAACATTGTTATTAAAATATCACATAAGTTGCTTTCTGATAAATTTAGACGCATTATGCGAAATAAAATGTTTTACAAACGCTCCAATCACTTATCGACATGTAAACGCACTAAACCGATTTCGCAGCGTTGACACCTTGTCACCTTGAAACTTATTTAAACTGGGAACTGACATTTGTATTAATTTTGACACTGAATCAATTTGTGGCATTTCAAATCTTTATAAATCCTTTGGCCCCGCATACTGTAAATCAACAACTGTTTGTTTCAAAACAAAATTATTCATTTTACGAGTAGATAAAGGCAAGTGACTTAAGTGGCTTAAGGACAATCCGCGACGAGGGCTCATGGAACTACCAAGTATAGCTTTGAAAAGGGTGGAATTTCTAAGGCAATACAATCAAGCCAAGGTTGAGGCCTTATACCAGTTTGTCTTCCTCGATGAAACTTGGATATTTCAAAATGGGACCATAGGTCGCTCTTGGCAAAATGGAAACCAAAAAAGCGTGAAAGCTATTAAAACAGATGGTAAAAGGTATGTACTTTTACACAATTTGCACTATAAAATTTAAAACTAATATATTTTAGATACATTATATTACATGCTGGAAATGAAAATGGGTTTATTGAGGGTAGTGAAGCGATATTTTCTTCGAAAACAAAATTGAGCGATTACCATGGAGAGATGATCCAGGACAATTTTTTGAAATGGTTTCAACATCAGTTATTAGAAAAATTGGAGAGTCCATCTATGATTATACTGGATAACGCCCCTTATCACAGCATGATATTGAACAAAGTGCCCAACAATGCATGGACAAAAAAAAATATCCAAGACTGGTTGACAAATCAAAACATACCATTTTTAAACACAATGTTTAAAACAGAGCTATTGAGTATTGTTGCTCGGTACATAATGCTTCTTAATTATATATATTTTGGTCGACAGTTTATATTTCTTTTGTTTATTCCTATTCTTAAAATAACTGCTTTTTTAGAAACAAACCACCTAAAATATACGTGATTGATGAATTGGCGGAACAACATGGGCAGAAAGTTCTTCGTCTGCCTCCTTACCATTATATATTTAACCCTATTGAGTTAATTTGGGGCATAGCAAAAGGTTACTATAACAGACATATTGGTAGAGATGGTAACAGTGAAAAAGACTGTTTGGATATGTGGAACGAGGCTCTACAAACGGTTACCCCAGACATGTGGAAAAATAGTGTTCGACATACTGAGTAAGAAATTTTTAAATGGTATGAAAGAGAACGAATTTTTGATCGACCAGACATCGAACCTTTAATAATCAACTTTGAGAGTGATGAAGATTCAGATTCAGACAGCGCTGAAAAAAGAAACTCCGACTAACTTTATTGTACAGAAAAAGCTTACACCAGTAGCTTACCTAATTTTAGAATGCATTTTTCTGTATGAATTCTGTAAAATAAATACCATGCATAAAATTTGGAGGACCCCATTTGGATTTTTATTCAGTACCTTTAAGCTATCAATTAAATATGGTAGTTTCATAGTGTCATCTGATCAATAATTGTCATACTTAATGATTATGCAAGTACAGATCTATAATTTTATTATACTATTATTTTTGTTCTCATTTGAGGTTAATATTGCTTATAAACCTAGATATGTAAATAATAAATTTTATTATTTTACAAAAAGTTTGGCAACAATGTAAATTTTTCAACACACCCACCTTGATGACGTGCACGCCACTTTGTTTGGCGTTGACTATATACTATATATCGTTGACTTTTATCGAGGATAGAAGACGCATATTATTCATATGTGTTTCCAATAACAAGCTTCTACGGTGTTTCAGAATAGGGGAGGCTGGATCTTTTCATAAGAATATTGCAGGATTTTACCTCAAACATTTTTGTTATTTTCGCCCTAGAAATATTAGCACGTCTAAAAACACGCTGAACAAACTTCAAAAGTCCAAACTAGATAGATAGTTAACGGACTGATCAACTGATATTGAATTCTAAGGTAAAATCCTTTTGTATGTAATTCCACTATAAACTGTTTTGCAATAATTAAATAGAAAAAAAATTACATCCGCATTGTACCAAAATGGTCAAGTTTGACAAATCACTTTCGGTTTTTCTCAATCAGAATCAGGTGGCTGGAAAGTGGTTCCTCTCAGTTAGTGTAATTCGGAAGCAACCTTTATTCAACTTAAGCAGATACGTGATTACAGGGGTCAAAAGCCACCTGACGTGGTAACAATGAGCAATACTCGTATATGTTAGTGCTCAAGCACAACGAATATGACACAAAGCATACCAGAATGGAGATACAATGGAATTGAATGAATCTGCAGGACGTTGGACACTATGATCTTTTTTGGCCAGGGGAACATCACATTCAGATAGAAAAGATCGACAGTATTGGCTTATCGGAATTTCCTGTCCGAAGACCGAGCTTGCCGAGCCAGTTAAAGCTGTCTCTTATCTATTACATACAAGAAGATGATTAGGAGTAGTTGCCTTTTCAGTGCTGTTCCTTATGTGTTCTGTCATTTGCAGATCTTTGTCGCGCCACATACCCAGGTACTTAATTGAGTTGTGACGAATATAATTGGCTTCCCAAACATACACTGATACATGTCATTTCCTAAAATCCTAACCTAACCTACTGTATACAGTAGGTTTTAAGCTGAATTGGAACCCGCACGGGTATCACCTATCTTGAAAAGTGATATTATGCCGATTTTTTTTGACATTATGCTGGTTTTTTTTGACATTATGTAGGTTAGCCTTCAAAATGTTAACTTAGTAGCTACTTCTGAGATGGCATTACTGGAGGTCTAAGCTGTAAGTTGTATGTGTTGATGATAATTACATTGGGTTCTTGTCTCAAATACACTTAATTGAGATTCAAAGCTAGCTGCGCACCCACTTTTTCTTATCCAGTCTGGAAATTACATATACAAATTTGCTGAATTTCAAAAATGAGAGAGATGAGAAATAATCATATTCACTGTACACTGTATAATTACAAGCCATATAAATGCTAATAGTAATTATACCCAACGCGGGCGCGGTGATGATTACCCGTAGTTCTCAGTTTTTCATAATTTATAACTTTGAACATAACCTCTCTTCAGAAAGCACAAGTAATGATTTTCTCACACAGCAAATATCACTGATTTTATACACATGCAGACCAACACACATAATCATCCAGACGCGATCTTGCTATTAAGCCAACTTTCTTCTCAGAGATAAAACTACAGACCCGGATCACTCAGCCTCACAAAGCTATGCAACCAACAATGCGTAGTTTAGTTGAGTGATTCCTCCACAGATGGACGTTCACAACGATCCTAGTGAGCAAACGTGGAATGACTGTTTGCACCCTAAAAACTACCTAGTCTGCAAGTTGACATCTTATAGGTTTTTTTACATGATACCCGGGCCGGTGTTGCTGAACACATGCTGCATTTTTGTGATGTATTCGAAAAAAGGAATGAGTCAGCGGCCTCATATTCAATATTAACATGCATTATGTGGCATACAGAAGTATCTCAATGTACAAAAAATTTTTGAAGAAATTCCATCTAGTTGTGTCATATAACATCTTTCGATCTCGAAAAATAGTCATTACAGAACTTTGTGTCTATGAGGACGTTCAGTTAAAAGATCATAATGTACAGCATATTGCAAATTCAACAAATTTTGCGATATCCCCTTCCCCGTATGCTTTGTGTGGCATTCTTTAATCAGGCAGTTATTGGAAAGCGTCCACGCGTCTCTAACTGAGAGCATTGAGAAGTCTGCGAAATTATTTTTTGATTCTATCCTTGAAATCTGCGATTAATCTAGTTGCAATCGGTATTTGATTTTTGCACGTCAAACACATGAGAGAATTGGAAAAAGGATATATCGTTTGTCAATTAGGTGAAGATTCCAACAAAGTCCTTAATTATCTTCCTGGATAACATGTTTTTGCTGCTGTACCTAATCCGCATGTCGTTCTTCAAGGTGAACAGATATGATTCTCGGTTACAATTATTTTAAACACCTTTATATGGTTTGTATGAATTTGTTTTATTAAATTTGTAAAGAAGTGGTAGAAACCAGATAAGAGATAAGAGATAACAACAAGAAAAGTCTGTAATAACATAAAGTCTGTAACATGTAAAATGGAAACTCTTCTTTCTTGTGTTTCTTTTTCTACTAGATGAGGTGTGTATAAGAATTCAGATGATTCAAATAATTACGGCACTGGACCTCCTTGCTTCCTAGCACGATACGAAGATGCCACGTCTGGGTCAAAGCTTGATGAGGATGAATCCATTATAGTAAAATATGGGTCTACTTGCAGATCACTTATAATAATCTGACACTGAAACTATGAAACACAGATGAAACTGTATTATACTTATACCTACTTACATTATTAGAACATTTAATAACATTCACCACAAACCCAAAATCAGCTCAGTATCACATTCAAAATAAGCTCGTACTGATCGTAGCAGCACCTGAAATAACTTTTTTGTAACCAAATTCAATTCAAAAGTATTTTCCTCCAAGCCACACCCAGGAGCGAGATGTCATTTTTTGTACATCGTAAGATCGATAGTTAGGTTATTACAGAGCTTGATCAACATACAACAACCACAGATTTCTTTCATACATGCAATGAATTAAGATAACAAGTTCCGATAAGAATACTGTGCTTATGCATGACATTGAATCACTTTAATTAACGCTTGTGAATATTTGCGAACGCATTCTCCCAGCCCCATCTCTAGTATTCATTTTCCCTCTACTCTTGACAGTTGATACATTTGTACTACTGCCAAACATGAATAATATGTATCAACAAGCTAAATAATGTTAGTTACTTTAACCATAGCAGTTGAACCTAATAACATTTATTTTTTAATTCAATTGAACGAATCAAAAAGGAGTGTAATATGACCAATCTAACGTTTATTTTGTGGATCTGCCGCGATTTCAGCTTCACGATTTTTCATTGAACAGTTTGATGTGGTAGCACTGGACATGGACAGTTCTGGGACTGGTCAGCTGAGCTGATAAAAGGCAGTCCTAGTTTCAAATAAGATAAAGATTCACCTGTGTTCTTTATTTTTTCCAAGAAACGTACATACTATACGTTATATGTATACTGAAATACTGTTATTAAAAATGTGATTGCCAATACTTTGCATAAATATTGCGCACGCACAGATGTTGTGTATGCCAACCAGTGGTTCATATATCTAAAATTTGCAACATTTAACGCTAATTTTTGTAAAATTATATCTCTCAGGTAAGTAATACTCTTCTTTTCAATAAAGTGTTCAGTAAATGATGCCATATCAATCTAGGCATTATATCAGGCTTGTTCCACGATTGGGGCAGGCATTAAACGCTCCTCTCGGATTGGACTATATTCGATGAAGTTTTACGAAAACGCTTCCTAATTGGTCACTGTTGGTCCGGATCATAGGCTTTGATTCCCGGATTAACTGAAAAAAATTTGTTTTTGTAGCTAAATCAGGTTATAGATAAATAATTTCTTGATTTAATATGGGAACTAGAGGCCCTCCTTACACAAATCCTACATTTTCTCGCTAGTTTGAGTGATATTTTATAAAAAATCGACTATATTCATTAGATTCATTATTAGAAAGATGCCTTCTCATTGGTCCCTTAAGAACCGGATCAAAAATTTTAATCTCCTGTTAGTAAAATCGGGCCTAAGTGACCTTTATTATAATTCGCTAAATTATAGCGTCTAATCAATCGATTTGGAATTTGGAATTCTTTGATAGTCTTGACTGATCAGCATACATATAGCCATATTTTATCATGGGGTGGTTTAATATGTATTAGTTGGAAGTATTTTAACCTCCATTTGTAGCCTGGTCGTGCTGCTGATCTTTAGCTCAGTGGATCGTTTAAGATTTACAGCCCGTGTCGGTGAATAATAGACCACTGGATATATTATTCATTTAAGCCGTATTAATATTAAGATACTATATTAGTCTGTTGCCTTCTTACTTATTCTACTTTATCAAAAGTTGAGCCTGTGGAAATATTGTACATAAATTACTCGATTCCCGTAAATTCGTCATAAATTAGAGACGTACAACAAATTTTAGCACTTGAGGAACTTTGTCTGAGGAATATGCGAAGTTCGACGAAGAGAATTTGAATACATCTATTAAAAGTTGTCTCAGAAACTTTCCAGACAAAAAATTGGTAATCTCAATATTAGGCAAGTAAAACTAAACGTCAACAATTATTTGCTTATTACGTGTAGTTGTTTGTGTGATTTTTGGAAAATCGTCCGATGATATATTTTAAAAATCATAATATCCATAAGAATCTATACAAGAGTTTTCTTTTTGTCGAAATATAACATTCACAAGAATTGTGGATGTAGTCAGTTACTTAGAATAAATTAAGTTTGGGTACAAACCTTGCCTGTCTTAGCAGCCTCAATCAAAGTACCCCATCGCCTCTTGTGGGAGTGTGATCGTTTCAGATTCATTCTGAAAATAAATAGTGGCGTCAAGTAGACTAATTAAGTACTTTTTATGCATTAATTTCTCCTACATGTACAAATTTTAAAATTCCTAAAAGTGTCTCCTCAAGCTTGCATCACAATAATAATGAGCTTCTGAAAAATTAAATTAATAAACAAAAAAGAAATATTTTGGCAATGCCCCAGGTATACGTGATTTTGAAAAATACTGAAAACTATTTCAAAACTACTAAAATTTTCTTGGATAAGGCTTACGTACCTTTTATGGTGGTGATGATGGTGACCTTCGTTGATGCTACCCTGTGAAGAACTAACTGTTGATCCAATGTGACCTTTCCTTTGATGACCCGTTGCACCGGCGAAAATGCCAGACAGAGTGCTGCCGAAGAAGTCGTGATGGTGATGGTGATGATGATGACTGTCTTGACTATTTTGGGAGTAGTTGAAAAGACATATATTTTAAGATAATTTACATGTATATAGTGTCTTTCAAAACGTTCACCCCCTACTTACTTGTGTGTTTAACGTAAGAGTGTAGGTTTAAAATTCCAAAACGGTGATTGGGCACCATTTTGGTGTCTTTTCTTAAAACGCTTATGGATACTTTGTACCCTAGAATACAAGGGTTTCAACTCAATATCTTTCAAAATGACGAATTAGCAGACTGTCAAAATTGTGCGTTTGTCAATTTCTTTATAACTGGATGACCCATATTTAATTATACTTTAAGATATAGTCTCCCAAAAGGCGAATATTGATGTAACAATGGATCGCATGATGATGATACTATAACATTTTGATGGCTAATTGAGTTCCATGAGACTCAATGTACACAAACGCTCAAGTTTGGCAACGTGCTGCCATTCCAAAAGCTTCAAAGTTGTACATTACATGAACTCCCACTACATTTTAAGACCCTAGATGGCCGTCATCTTGAAAGGACCAGGTGCAAAATAAATGAAAAATCGTCCCAGTTGATTTGTCTAAAAATTTTGCATGTTATACATATTTATTTCCATCCCGAACGAAAGTAATCATGACCAAAGCAATTCTACGATTAGCTTCCAAGAAATAGTCGAATAAGTTGCATGATTAAAAAAAAGGTGAATGTGCCGATTGTAGTTCTCAGACCAAAAGCTTGGAGAATCAGTATACCAAAAGAAATATTTCGTTCGAAAAAAAATTGTAACAAATATCTTCAGAAGGCGTATGGATTATAGATATAGATTTCAAAATGAATCAAAAGTAAGACATGAAATGTGCCATTGAAAAGCCACCTGTCCTTTGAATTTCCTGAATTCTCGAGCAACTCGTGCAAGACCTATTCCAGCACAAAACTCATAAAATCAACTTGCCTTTAAGCTAGCCTTGTAAGGATCATGGTCACGACCAACATAGCACCTCCCAAAATATTTCTACAAGGTATTTAAGTGAAATACATAATTCTTTTAGTATACGGCTCCTTCAGTTTTTGACCTGGCAACTACAACAAGCACATTCACCAGTTTTGCAAATCAGGCAAAGCTTATCGGCCTACTTTTGTGTGTGGTGTGTGGTGAATTTCAACTTCATATGAAACGTTTAGCTTATATGGCTTATTTTACGTAAAAAAATAGTAGTCCACTTTATTATTATAAACTATATTCTTAGACATGGATCAGTCATTAAAAAATTTGCCAGTAGTGACCCCACAAAATAGGCGATAGAACTTTATTGAGAATTGGAGTTTTGAACATAATTCAAATTCACATTTTTGTTAATAAGTTCACTTTTACTTACTCCCAAAGATGACGAAAGAACCAGAGCAAGGTTTTACGGTCCGGCACGGGTATTACGTATCTTGAAGTGACATTATGCCGATTTTTTTTAACGTTGTACTGGTTTTTTGTGACATTATGTAGGTTTTTCTATAAGATGTTAACTTAGCACCTAGCTGTACATGCTGCCTAAACGTCATGATTCTTTAGTTTACAATGTTTGGCTCTGATGTGATGTAAAATCTGCTTCAGAGATGGCATTACTGGAGGTCTAAGCTGTAAGTTGTAGGTGTTGATGATAGTTCCATTGGATTCTTGTCTCAAACACACTTACTTGAGATTCAAAGCTATAAATTAGTTGCGCATCAACTTTTTCTTATTAATTCTGGAAATTACAGATGCAAAAATGCAAAATGAGAGAGGTAATAAATAACTATATTCACTCTACACTGTCGAATTACAAGCCATATACATGCTAACACCAATTATACACAACGCGGGCGCGGTGATTTCCCGTAATTCTTCTCAAAGTCTTTCGTAATTTATAACCTTGAACATAACCTCTCTTCAGAAAGCACAACACTACTCTTACAGGAAATATCACTGACACATGTAGACCAATACACATAATCATCCAGATGCGATTTTGCTATTCAACCAAGTTTCTTCTTAGAGATGAAAACTACAGACCACTCGGCCTCACAAAACATATGCAACCAATAATGCGTGTAGTTTAGCTGAGTCATTCCTCTATAGATGATCCTAGTGAGCAAACGTGGAATGACTATTTATACTCTAAAAACTAGTCTGCAAGATGATATTTTATAACGGGTATTATGTAAAAAACTAAAAAACGTCTAAAAAAACCTATGAGATGTCATCTTGCAGACTAGTCAGTCTTTAGGGCTTGCTCATTAGGATCGTTGTGAGCGTCCATCTGTGGAGGAATGGCTCAACTACACGTGCACGCATTGTTGGTTGCATATGTTTTGTGAAGCAGAGTGGTCTATAGTTTTAATCTCTGAGTCTCTGAGAAGAAAGTTGGTTATTTGGTTGAAGAGTAAGATCGCATGATTAGGTGTATTGGTCTGCATGTGTATGAAATCAATGATATTTGCTATGTGAGAAAATACTGCATATGCTGCCAATGAAGTATATCTATCAGCTGTGCTCGACGAGTTATTTATGTTGCCCTTTTGGAAGACAGGTTATGTTCAAAGTTATCAATTACGATTTTTTACGTTTTTTTGTGTTTTTAAAAACTTTGAGGAGAATTACGGGAAATCACCACCGCGCCCGCGTTGTGTGTAATTACTGTTAGCATGTATATGACTTTTAATTCGTCAATGTATAGTGAATATAAGTATTTCTTATATCTCTCACTTTTTAAATTCAGCAAATTTGCATATGTAATTTCCAGAATGGTTAAGAAAAAGTGGATGCAACTAATTTCGAGCTTTGAATCTCACGAAAGTGTATTTGAGACAAGAATCCAACGGAATTATCATCCACACATATTATTAGCACACAAATCCTCACTAAGCCTTTAGGTACCTCCAGTATGCCATGTCGGAAGCAGAAAAATGTTTTTATTATCATTATGAGTAAAATTAAATACTTCTTGCTTTAGTATTGGCTGAAATAACCAGAAAAATTGATCTAGAATAATTTTGGATCCCATTCCCTATTTTGATTATACTTTACCTCTTAAGGCGGACTCACAAGCATACATGATAACGGAACCACTATACATAGTTTTTGACAACCATTTAAGGCACTAAATTAAGACATTTTTTATATGTCTATGTCTGCCAATACGTACTATGAGACATAACTATGGATAGCCAGCTGCTTGTACACCGGACAGCTAATGGGTTAGTTTATTTTTCGGGTGTATATTCCCAATATTCCGAGAACATAGAAGTACTACGTATTTACAGACTCAAAATAGGTCGATTGAACATGCAAAGGCGCTTCCTTTGTCCGTTAGAGAGCGTTAGTTTTCTTTATTAAATACGGCTATTAAGATATTTTTAGAACTGATGGTCCGATTTGAATGAAGTTTGGAGCACACGTGTTCTGTTAGACGTCCTAATACATATTTGATTTTTTCAAAAAATCCAAGGTTGTTCGAGAAAAGTAAAAACTACCCCCATTTCCGCATAAATCATATCAACCTTATATTTGTGTTATTTTTTGTCTCTTATAAAAATATACCATTTCGCCATGATTTCGAGAAAGAATGTTTTTCGGAGCTGGTTTCTAAACATTTTTTTTACATCTAGTATTAAAAGGCATCTAGTTGGCGGAAATGTGGGATATTATGTCAGTGTCAGGTTATTTTTGACAAGCTTCATAAAGCTCAAATTAATAAGTAATGCTTGAGTTTATATTTGATTATTAATTTGTTGTCTACTCCTATAACTATTTTAAATTAATTAACGTTTGAGGTCATTTTTGATTAAGTTGTTGTTGTTACTTGTTTTTCTTGTGTCGAACAGACTGACATGTTAGTACTTGGTACCTGTGAAGGTAAATGCAAGTGTTCGAGTTCCTTAAGAGAAACATCGAAATGGATGAATTCCAAATTATCAGACTTTTGCAAGCATGGAACGCCGACTTCGGGATAATCCAACCTCTGGGTCAACGCTGATAAGCCGCTACCAACTCGCACGTGTATTACGTATCTTGAAAAAGTGATATTTTGTCGTTTTTTGACATTTTATAGGTTTTTTGAGACGAACGTAGGTTTTTCTACAAGATGTCAACTTGTTCACTTCATGCTCATTTGTAGCGTGGGCGGAATGAACTATTTGTACACTAAAAACTACCTAGTCTGCAAGATGACGGTTTTCTTTGACATTTCTTAGGTTTTCTTACATAATACTACTGCCGAACACAGCTAGTGGAAGAAGCTGTTCTTGAAGTGACCGAATAAGATCTAGGTACGAGCACTCGCAGATTAGAACATGAACAAGGGTTTCAAAAAAGCGCTGTTAACCGGAATTTACATGAATAACTCATTCGTTCTTTTCACTTTCACCCTGTTCAGGAATTATTGTCTACTGACCGTCACTCACAGACAGCTGATAGGTCGCTGCATAAGAAAATTTGGTTTACAGATGTTTCATGTTTTACCCAACGCGACGTGGTTCAATAAATTTGCATAAAACACACGTTTACGCTGAAGAAACAAATGGGAATTTAAAACTAACATTTGGATGGGGATTATTGTTAACTTTTTAGTTAGTGTAGGTTGCCTGAGGAATCAAACGGAGATAGCTACTTTAATTTTCTATAATACGGTTTACCTGAATTATTAGAAGGACAGCCTATGAATGTAAGAAGAGACATATTTTTGATTCATGATAGTACTTCACCTCACCTTGCGCGTGCTGTAAGAAATTGGATTGGCAATGGCCACCTCGTTCCCCGGATCTTAATCCTTGCGATTTTTTATATGGGGAGCACTAAAGACAAAGGTGTACGAGGATCACATAGACAACGCCGATCAACTATGGAACAGACTGCAAATACATTAAGGGATAGAGACATCCTGGAGAAAGTTAACTATAATCTTTTGCGCTGTATTGTTTTGTGCAGGAACGAAAACGGTGGTAATTTTCAACCTTCTATGAAAGATTTGCACTATTGCTATTAAATAAAATTGTAATAAGTACTTGTTTATTTTCGCTGAGTAAAGGATTAATAGTATTCTTGGAAACCTCTTAGTGCAACGCATTTTTTTCATCGAAAACTATCGGAGATGGTCTATTTATAAAGTAAATAAAAAATCTGCTAAATAAGAAAATTCAGTCGTCGGTAAAGTTGTAAAAAAATTTTTCTATAGTTTCTGTAGGGGTGGGGGTAGTTTTCACCCTTCCCGTACGCTTTAGAGTTTTTTCTAAAAGTCAAATATTAGAATGCCTAGCAAAACATATGCGTTGCAAATTTCATTCAAATCGGACTATCGATTCTTGAAATGTCTTAATGAACAAACGTAACACTTTCGCATAGATGTGACCAATCGACTTATTTTGAGCCTACAAAACGTGGTACCTTTATATCCACGGAATATTGGGACAACTTGTATAACGTAATTTCAAAGGCTCAAGTTTTTAATTACCTGCCCGTGTGGTGGTGATGTGTCTGTTGTAAGGACGCGATGAACTCAGCAACGGGAGGCAACGAAGCGGACGAAGTCGAAGGTTGGGGTCCGATGTTGAAGCCCTTCATCAGTCTCCGCTCTTTCTGTCTGTTTTTCTTGCCGCCGGTGCCTGAAAGCGAACCTGCACAGTGTCCCAGGGAGAAAGAGGTATGAGGGATTCATGAAATGTTTAATGACATGCCTCGTATACAGAGCTGTCGCAAATACCAGTGAACTGCATTTCAAGTACAAAGCATCAATTACTTGGAATTTTTCTCCGCAAGTACAAGTACTAAGTATTTTTCCTTCAAAACGTATTTCAAGCGTCGTAAACTTTATTGGAGTCCTTTACTTTCTCCAGTAAAGTAATTCAAATACCTTGTCAGTATTTGGAGTACTTCTATGAGTATTGCAAATACTGGAAATATATGTCAAAAACTTGCCTAGCATCTAAAGTACCTAGAGAAGTAGTTAAAAACCTTGACAAATTATTGAAATACCTAAACAGTAATTGACATTAAATTATTTCAGTCTTCATGGATTTCCAAGGAAACACATTAAGAATTTACCTTTGCACAGTGATCTCTCTCTGGTCACGCTTTCCCAGGTCCCTATACACCCATTTGTTCCGGGCCGTGTTGACCTGGCTCCTGCTATGCCCAGACTAGGCGCTATGTTTGGGGCCCCAAAGCAGGGTCACTTCTTTAGATCGGGCTAGAGCAGTGGTGCCTTCCTGAACAAAGGGTGACCTTGTTCTCGAAAATGCTACTGCTTTCAGTGCTAATTGGCTGTCGGAGCATACGAATATGCTCCGTTCAGTGCACTGCTAATTCGAATACAACTAGCTGTTCAAAATGTTCCTCTGAGAGGGCGTGTCCGCGTGGTACATTTACTATTTGAACTACGCCAAGTCTTTCCACAGGGGAGACATGCATTTAAAAAAACTTAATTACTACTTCTTAGAGTAAATGCCCTTGTGACAAGGATTTTCCTTATATTTTTCTTTTCTCAGCGACTTCTTGGAGGGGGCTCTCGCCCAGTTCCTGCGCCTAACAGCACTGTGTCGAATGGTCAAAAGTGTAATGATCGGATGTCGACACCTTGAAATGACATTTGACGATAAAACTCCATTGTGCTTATTAGTGCCCCAAACATCCGTTTGATCTCATTTCATCAATCCACATACTGCGTGGTCACACCGCTTATGGATGTTGCTGTATCAGCTAAAATTGGTTACAAATTAACCGGTACCATAGATGCTAACAATCGCCATATATCGTCAATTTGCTGAATACTGTGCGCTACGTGTAGCTTATCGCCAAGCTACCCATTTTAGTTGGGATTTGAAACCGTCAAATAGCCGATTTATGAATATTATGACTACTTTTTGATTATTAAAAGCACTATTTGAGTATTTGAATGACCTTATTGAAGTATTTCGAGTGCTTTAATACTCCAAGTAAAATTGTGCAGTATTTGAAATCCTTTCTTATTTTCAAGATTCAAATACAAATACTTTATGATGTATGTATTTGAAATATGAAGTCCAAAAACCACAGAAAATTAACTACCTGAAGTAAAGTATAATATTTCAAATATAAAAAAGTATTTGGAATATAATTTTCAAGTAACTTCTTTGATCTACTGACAGCTCTGCTCGTATGTACACTTATGCGCTAGTGCGAGAATGCTTGGACATACTACAGGTGTGCCAAGGTAACTACACTAAGGTTATCCAGAAGAAAGTAGTTAATGGTTGCGGTTAGGGTTGAACCCTGCCATGAGGAACCTTCTGAGGTAAACATTGGTGGAATCAAATTAAAAAAGTAAGTAATAAATTGAATTCAACAAAAGAAAGTGAAAGGCAAAAGGGTCCTCATATGCAGCCTTGGCGCACTGCCATTTAGGCTTCTGCCTGCGCGGCTGCTATAGTGTAAAAAAGATCATCTAGTCTTAGAAACTCCTCAACTGAAGGTCAGTCGGGATTCGACCACCAACGCACTCAGGTGTATTTTACTGCTGTTACGTAGTGTGTCGTATTTACGTGAGCAGTACTACAGGGTTATCCAAATTAAGTGTCCACCATTAGTAACTTTGTTATTAGTGAAAATACAAAGTTGTTTGAATTAGCAAACTAGTAGCATTTTTAACGCTGGTAAAAATGAGAAATAAAAAAAACAATTGAGAGTCGTTATTTTGATTTTTTTCAGTAAAATAACATTTTTTAAATGGAAACCCCTGTATATTATATTTTTTTCTGTTAAAGCATCAACTTTTAAACAAAAAAGCTTACAATAACTTTTCTCCTAGGTTACAAATTGTTGAAGTTATGGCCTCCAATCTGAAACAATTAAATTGTATCGACAAACTTTATTTTCAACATCAACTTATAATCTTACAAAATACAATAACAATTTTTTTAAAAGAAGATGCTCGAAAACACCACCTTGTTCTTCAATACATTTTTGGGCACGTTTTTCAACTGCTCGAACTGTCTTAAGTATGGTCCTACCATCTATCTGGGTTATCTTTTCCCTAACTGCAGTCTTTAACGCGTCAAGGTTATCGTACCTTCGCTTGTAAATTTGGTTCTTTAAGTAACCCCACAAGAAGTAATCAAGTGGGTTTAGATCTGGTGATCTGGGAGGCCACTGTATTGGGCCATTTGTTCCTATCCACTGATCATTAAAAGTAGTACTTAGAAAATGATAAGTACCTCTGGAGTTGTGGGCAGGTGCGCCATCTTGCTGAAAATGCAGATGATGTCTACTTATAAGATCCAATTCGTCTAAGAAATTAGTCAGAATTTCTGACATAAATTCCACATATCTGTCAGCAGTTAGGGTTCCCTCATAAAAGAACGGGCCAACAATTTTTGAACCAATTATACCGCACCAAACGTTGAAACTGAAACGGACTTGTGGGCCTCTTGGATGTACTAACAAAAGATTTTCTCTTGACCAATAATGGTGGTTTTTTCTATTAAACATTCCAGAATTTGAAAAATTTGATTCATCTGTCCATAAAAGGTAACGAAAGTTATTTACATTTTGGCGACAGAAGCTAAGATACCAATGGCAAAAAACAAGTCTTCTCTCTGGATCCCCTGCCAAAAGCATTTGAACTGGTCGGTACTTATACGGAATAAATTTGTATTTTTTTAAAATCCTTTGAACAGTACCATAACTGAAATTAGAGTCCTTGAGAATATCTGCTATTGAATTCTCACGATAAGCTTCAAAATATCCAATATCTGCAATTTCCGTGGCCTCGCTTATTATGAATTCTTTTTTTGCCCTTGTTTTAGCAATAACATTTTCGTTGCCCCTAAATTTTCGATAAAGTCTCAGAAAATATCGTTCATACGGTTGAATGCGAGCGGGATATAATTCACTGTAGTATTCTCTTGCTCTCAAGGAGGATTTTCTGCACACTAAATAGCATTCTAACATATCACACTTTTCTTCATGGGAGAACATTTTTCTTTAAATTAATGACACAATAAAGCTTATAAACAAGTATTTACACTAATGTTTGACATTATTTGATTTTATCATTGTTTTCCAAAGCCTTCTAGTTGCGAGTATGTCCAGTTTAACAATTTGTCGCTTATCTTAATGCTGTCAAATCGCGAACGCCATGTTGTTTTCATAGCCGTCTTAATATTATAATACTGCAAATAATTAAAAATATTTATCGTTATTTTGACTTTATTTTTGACTTTAGCGGAAAAGTCATTATGAACTTTTTTGTTTAAAATTTGATGCTTTAACAGAAAAAAATATAATATACAGGGGTTTCCATTTAAAAAAATGTTATTTTACTGAAAAAAATCAAAATAACGACTCTCAATTGTTTTTTTTATTTCTCATTTTTACCAGCGTTAAAAATGCTACTAGTTTGCTAATTCAAACAACTTTGTATTTTCACTAATAACAAAGTTACTAATGGTGGACACTTAATTTGGATAACCCTGTATACTCGTACTGGTTTGGTTTGTTTTATTATTGGGCGGCAAAAAATGTTTTACGAATTTTGAAGTGGAAAGATGAAGTAGCTATATTCAAAAACACTTATTTAATCAATAATATGTTGACTGTATAGTTCCAACGTTTTGGTAAAATCATTACACTGATTCCGTAAAACTGCCGAGACTTTTGTTAAAAGCACTTATAGAGGTGATTTTGGAAAGCTGCAGTTGACTCGAATCTTCAACCAACAAGATTGCGCAACACGTGAAATACCGAAAGGCTCTAAGTCTGGACAATATGGTGAGTGCTGCATTATCTCCCAATCAAAGCTTTGCAATTTCTATTTCTGTTGCTGTAGACGTGTGTGCTAGGTCGTGATCTTGGTATATGACTGCACCACGATGAACAATGGCAGTGATTCTCCCAGCTCATTTTTCTCGTCCTGGTGAAGACACCCAAGGAACAGAACGCTTATATAATCTTACCATCCACAAAGAATGCGGGTCAAAAGGGTTCAATTGAATCTGACACTGCAGAAACCTCGTAAGTCACATAACTTAGATTTTTTAGGGCTCAATAAAAATGTTGAATAAACCGTTTCTTATGGCACTGGGTTATAACTCATTAGCCAGAAACAAGTTATAAATAATAAGAATCATATGTCCGAAAAACTTTCGTAGAGAAAGCATCAAAAGAAAAACTAATCTAGTAGGTAAGGAGCATAGGATTAATTTTGAAATATCAGACAGAATCACATTCTTCTCGCACAGGGCCTATCAGGGCATTTTGTCGTTTTCATATACAAGAGGTCCGTGATAAGAAGGTTAGAAATACATATATGGAAAGAACAGAGGAACATTTTCATACGAGTAATACAAGATTATTTGTACGTCCTCGGAATTTTAATGTTATCATGTCATTATGATCGAGGTATATCTGGTTGGATGAAAGTGTATCTGGGAGGGTGGGATGAATAATATGAACAATAAGCCGGATTTAAAGTACTCTTTTGAGTTGATACTTGAGCACTTGAGATCTAGAAAATTGAAACTTCAAATAACCTTCACAGATTGTTAATAATAATTTTTAATAACAGTGCAAGGCCTAAAAAAATTGTGATCGACTTACGTTGTTTTAGCAGGAAGTAGGGTTAGTGGTT